CTTGCAATTACCACTCATGACATCAGTCTTGTGAAGGGAGAGCAAAAGACCATCCATCTCGTGCTGTCCTCTTCTCCCCTGCTGGGAGGTGGAGGATGCAGACACGAGCGAGCGCACGGGCATAAGAAGGACTGATCTGCACGACAGCAGATCCAACAACCTCCCGAACCTGGAACCGAACCCGAGAATCCTGAATCTTCCCTGGTTATCTGCCAACGGCTGTGATTTATGCAGTGGTCTCCCACATCCTTCGGCTGTCTGGGCCACATAGGGAATCTGATTAAACGAGCTTCAGCTCATGAAAGCTTCTGCTCCTGGCATGTGTACACGTGCACACACACATCTGTAAAGTGCAAATCTACACTGCCTCCCATGCAGAGGATAATACCCTACAGTTGTTCCCAGTCATCCTCTTAGCTCACAAGGTAGAAGCTCTGGCTGTAGAGATAAAAGGTCCTAACCTTACTGATGACTGGCCTGTGGGAATCGATATGGTCCCATATAATAGAGCGGTCTTTGAGGACATGGTCACATGCTGTTTGTTCCACAGGGCCGTCCTTCGTTCAGCAAATGGGTATTTAATATCCCTTTTTGTCTTTATTTGGGGTACAGCATGTTCTACTAGTTAACCAGCAGGTTGGGACTTGGGATGCCTGGTTTTGTGACTGAATTACTGTGCAGCCTTGTTTAGGTCCCCTGGTTCAGCGAGACATCCACATACAGGACAGTATGGAGGCATCAAGTGAAATGCTTTTTTGAGCCCAGACCTGATTCTCAGCCTTCATTGAGCATCGAATCGTGGGAACTATCATACTTTTCCAATTTTAGCAAAGCCCTTTGAGATCCCCTGAGCAGTTCATTCCCCAGGGCTTCCTCATCTCCAGGCCAGTTGGCTTTGAATTGAGGTTTCCAGTCGGTTCATATTTTATGTGGGGTGAGCGTGCCCCTGTGGTAAGCAAAGCAAACGAGAAACGAACCTCACACTGGTGGTCTTTCTTCAGAGCTAGAGGGGCAGCCCAGGCTCTGTGCTTCCCTGTCAGCACCTCGGCCTCCTCTCGCCTCTCTCCCTCGCCCTCCTGCAGCTCTCAGCTGGCTCTGTAACACCCTCACTTACTGGCCATCGGTCGCAGCTTGCTTCCAGCCGTCCAGCCGGGCAGACGGACTACCTGCAGTGGACTCTCAGGATGAATAAATGCACCCCTAGTTGCAAGGCTGATGTGAGCATAGTCAGCGTATGCCTCCAAACTGCTTGTGTCCTGAGATTTGCAACAGATGAGGCCCTGAGTGCGCTCCAAGTGTGATGCCTAAGGGACTAGAAGAACGGTGTCGAGCCAGCTCCATCCTCTTTCAACCCCTCTTCATGTAGTTGAAGACTGCTATTAAGTCTCCTCTTCTCTAGACTAAATAAAGCCAGTTCCCTCCTAAGTGCAGGACTTTGCACTTGTCCTTGTTGAACCTCATGAGATTTCTTTTGGCCCAATCCTCCAATGTATCTAGGTCACTCTGAATCCTAGCCCAACCCTCTGGTGTGTCTAGTGCTCCCCCCCTAGCTTGGTGTCATGTGCAAACTTGCTGAGGGTGCGCTCTATGCCATCTGCCAGGTCATTGATGAATATATTGAACAAAACCAACCCCTGGGGCACTCCACTTGATACCGGCTGCCAGCTAGACATTGAGCCATTGAGCCCGATGGTCAGCCGTGTTCACACATTTGCTCTTTCCAGTGAGTCTAACACCAGCCTCATGAAATTTCTCCTTCCTTTCCATGTTAGCCCTATTCTAACCCTATTTGTGACAATAACAGGGTCATAGTGATTCTTGGCTCTTTGCATGTAGCACTTTTCATCCCTAGATCTCAAATCAGTTTGCAGTGAATCATCTCCCCTGCAGAGATGGGGAAGCAGAGGCCCAGAGAGGTGAAAGGGACTCATCTGAGGTCACCCATCAGGTCCGTAGCAGAGCCAGGAATACAGCATATGATGCTCAAGTATCCATCTCCTCCAGCTGAGACAGCATGAGGCATGCCACTAGTCTAGACTCCAGTTTCCAAGCCCTAGCAAATAAAATGTATTTTTCTGCTGGTTTTCCTCCCCTGCTTACAGGCATTTGTAGCGTGATTAATGAGCAACTTCTTTTCTGCAGGCTGTGAGTGAATCCCTCATGTGTCTGCTTCTGAATACAACTCAATGCATTTATTATAACCCCAGTAGGTTTAAGAAGATATTGAATAGGTTTTTAGCAGTGACTGGTGGTGAAGATTCATTAAATGGACTTGATTTTCATTAAGTGGTTGATTTGGATCTTTTTGTACTGTCTCAGATCTGACACCCAAAAATGGAAGGTGTTATTAGTAGATGTTGGCAAGACAGCCCTGAAGTATGATGAGATAAATAATCCTGCACGAGATTCAAGACTCCTATATGGTCCAAGTAGCTCTTGAGTGGTCTGATATCTTTGCATGTGGACTAGGGGCCATCACACCTCAGGTCTGTCAGGGTGTAGAGCCAAGTCCAAGTCGTCATGGCATTAGGTGGTATCAGGCCTGTCTTTGGTATAGGCTTTGGGATGAGATGTCAAACTGAGGACCTGTAGCTGCTGAAGATCCTGAGACAAATCCTCTTCCATGATGCCTGCCTTCCATCCAGCTCAGGGGGTCGTAGAGAGCTAGAAACCCTCTTACCTGCCCTCCCAACTTGGGCAAGTCCCCAGCAAGCACTGAACCAGCTCCTAGGCCTCCCTCTTCCTGGCTGTAATGCCAAGATAACATACAGGAGCGCTGGGGAAGGACAGGACCAGGGAGAGGAACAGCTGGACTAAACCTCCAAGATTATTGCACCAGCACGTTGCCAAGGGCAGGCCTCACGTCCCCGTGCGATGTCGCGTACCAAGATGTAGGCAGCCTGGTTGGTGGTTTGTGCAAGCTATCGGTCAAGGTCTGAGCGGTAGCCAGGGTCCAAACCAGAGACAAAATAAGAGCAAGCCGGGCAGTTATCCATGAGAGCCCGGTTCCAACAAGCCGAGATGCGAGGTCCAAGTTGGAGCAGGGTCCGCAACAGGCGGTCAGATCTCGAGTTGGGGCGCAAAGGCAGGGAAACAGCAGAGCAGTCCAAGGGCAGAGCAAGCCTTGGTGTCCAGATGGTTTCCCCATGACCAGGAAGCCTTATGTAGCCAAGAGGACCCAACTGGGCTGGAAGCCCTGGGCTGATCAAGGGCAGTAGCAGAAGCCCTTTCCCAAGACCTTTTCCGTGCTGCTTTTCCTTCCTGAGCTAATCCCCGATGGAGGGCTGAGTTGGTGCTTGGTCCCTGAGCCTAGGATCAAGGGTTTGGGACTGGGTCCTAACATGTGATCCCCTTGAATCCCAGGGGAGGGCCCCTGCTTATTCTGCCCCCATCCACCTCCTTCCCTTCCGTGCAGCCTGCTGGGATGTTTCCCCTTTTGTCTTGTAATTGGCCTCTCACCATTTGCAAAGGCCAGGGAGTGCTTTGGGGTGCTGGGAGCATGGCGCCCATGCCCAGAAATGTAACGGGGGGGGGG